TGAAACCTTTTTACCCCTTGCCTCTTCTGTCTCTCCCCCCCCAGGAGATTTTTGGGGGGAACTGTCCCACCCGAGCTGATCGTTCGTCCTCCTATTTATAAGCCCCGTCCTCCTGGAGAGACAACGCGACGGTCAGTTTTTAATGTAAGCGTGTGAAAGTGGCGGCGGGGTAGATTCGGTCTCTTGTCTCTTTCTCAAGCACTTTCTTTATAATATTCACCTCATTGGTTCCGTTTTTTTTTTCCCCCCCTCACAGTTATAATTATTAATTTAGTCATAGGAATCAGCCTTTGGGTTTGGATAGCAAAAAAAGTATTAAGTTGTACATGTTTAAAGGGTTTAAAGTCATAAAATATATATATATAAAAGCGGTCTTGATCCTCGAAGTAATTTGCTAAGTATTTTGGCTCTGCAAGAAAGATAAACTAATAAAATCTTACAACGTGGCTTGTAGTGTTCTCGGGCTTTAGGAGAGATTAATCTCTTTTTTTTTTTTTTTCTCCTTATGAAAATCCAGTTTTAGGATTTTCCCCCATTAGCGTGCTGTCCATAACTAGCATTATTTGGCCAAATCGCAGACTCGCTTTCCTTCATCCTAAAATAAGGGATTACCAATACGGCACAGGAATCGATCTCATGACAGCTGTCTGTCTCTGTGATGACCCAGGGTGAGGTACAAAATAAACACAGTCACGAAAAAGAGGCGAAGCCCCTTTTATTCCTTCACTTTGCTTCCAAGCTCCAAATATCCTTGACTGGAGACAAACTCCCACACAAGCAGTTACAAGAAGGAGGAAATGCCGTTTAAATTATAAAGAGTAAAAAACAACAGAAACCAGGCAAGATAAGGGCTGGAGGAGTCCAGATAACAGAATACACACTGAGAAGGACGGCAAACTCGGAGAGGAACAATAAATGAGAGATATTTACACACTTTGTTTCCAGCGCTTACCCATACGCATATCTGTCCTCTTATTCAGTTGTCACAGCTGCAGCCCATGAAGGGGATCAAGGCCCTCTCCTCCCCCCGTAGACCAGTCTCTCCCTTATCCTCTCCTCCCTGCATGCCCTAGAATGGAGAGTTGGACCTGTGTCCTCTTCTGGCTGCCCAGCCGGCCTCTGCCCTTCCCCAGCCTCCTCCACAACCTCCGGAGTCACACTTCCGCTCCCTGTTGGCTGTTCCTCCTCTCCCTCGGAGTCAGCCTCCACCAGGGGCATGACGGTCTTTTTCCAAGAAGTGCCATCTGGGGCATCGTTCCTGGAGATTTCATCTATACAAGTAGTCCTCAAATTGTAACCCTAATGGAGCTTTCTAAGTTGCGTTGGAAAGTGCATCATTGATAGGTCAGCTTTTAACAACTCTTCCATTATGGTCGTTATGCGAATCATTTTTATCCTTAAAGAAATCCAGGGTTCACAATGGGCATATTTTACTGGAAACCAGAAGTAAACACCCGGTTCAATCAAAAACTCGCAAATTGTGGTTGCGTGATTATGGGATGCTGCCAATGGCTGGAAATATGCGGTTGCCAATAGCAACAGCACTTAAGATTTACATACCAGTCTGCTGTCTTTTATGAATACTCTGGGTACACATCATTACGTCAGCATATTGTCGTCCCCCCCCCCACACACACAATCTGGGTCCTCATTTTACTGACCTCGGAAAGATGGAAGGCAGAGTCAACCTGCCAAGCTTCCCAATGTGCAGTCATGTGACCCAGGGGCCCTGATGTCGGAACTTCAGAACCTGGTCGTAAGTCAAATGACTGCCTGTAATTGTCAGACAATCACATTCTGTAAACCCCAAGACCACGTTTGTTTAAACCTGTTGAGCTTCTCGCTTTTATGTCCTCGACCCAACATTTGTAGAACTTGAATCTGGAAAAAAAAACCCTCGTCAGTCATTTTCTGGACTTGACCTACCATTTCCTTTTCCGGGGGGGGGGGGGGGGGGGCAGCAAGGGGGGTGACAGCAGGCATCGTAAGGGCATTGTAGTCCTGAGTAACCATGAATCGGTCCTCTGGGATTAAACACCCCATGACACTTCATGTGCTGACCCAGGCTGAACAGAATCACCAAACGGGCGCCTTTGTCCCGAAAAACCCCTTTTTATTTGGTGAATGTGAATTTCTGGCATTCATATCCAGAAAAGTCACGGCAATAATCTTTCCCAAGTTTAAGTGCAAGAACAGACCTTATCAATCCTTGAATAGTTGCCAGGCCGAGAGCTTCCCGGTTCTAGCGCTGTAAAAGGAAACACTTGGCAAGGAGTCTCTGTGAGGCACAAACTCAGATAACCGAATCTTCACACTACTTAAACGAACTAATTGTCTCCTGCAAACACCCCTCCCCTTTTTGCTCCTATTTATTCCCTATGGGAATAATTCCCTTGTGCCTTTTCTTCTGAGTCGACCCCTGTTCCTTAGTTGTTCCCTTCCGACAGCTCTGTGCATCTGGAACAGGCTCCAGCTGTTCTTCCTCACTTATTTCCGACTCCGAAGGCATCTGATAAATGGTGGACGGCCCTGGCCCCATTTCTGCCTTCCCCAGACTCCAGGACTAGCCCAAGTTTCTCCCCAACCTTCTCCCTGTCCGAGTCTGCCACCAGCTCTAATGGCAGCTGTTGGGCCACAACACTTTGCTAGGGTTGACTTCTCAGTTTTATTTGGGTTTTTTAACCCTTCTTGGGCGGATCTGCACACTGCTTTAAAGCCTACGGGAATTTGCTGGCCCAGCAGTTAAATAAAACAAAATAAATGTATAATTGTAGGCAAGCTAGTTGAAATTCATTCATTTTAGATGGCCTGGCCAAAAGGTGGACTTTTGTGTGTGTGTGTGTGTGTGTGTGTGTGTGTAGATAGCAAGGGAAAGAGCACACTGCCCTAAATTCAAACACAGTTGGACAGGGCAACCTTTGCATACATACATATTGTGCGTGTGTGTATGTGTATAGAAAGAGAGAGAAAGCACACTGCCCTTTAGACAGACAGGGAAACCTTTATATACAAGTGTGTGTGTGTGTAATAGCTTTTAAAGTAGTGCTAAAAAAGCATTAAAAAACCCCTACAAATATAAAAATACAGCGGCAAAGAAAACACATAGAAATTGCTTTTTAAAAAAACAAACGAAAAGGATAACGCGGAGTCTGCAAGAGTCTACTCGGGGCTTGGGACTGTGGCAAAATTTGGAACCGAGATCATCCACACCGATCCTAAAGCTGCGGACGGTTAAATGCATAATAAACCAGCAGAGATCTTGAAACGGCTTATAAAGACGGGAAATATGAAATGGCGTAAAAGACGCCGATTCCTCCTCTTGGAACCCGGTGTAAAAAAAAGTCTTCCGGTGAAAAGAAAAACTACCAAATCCACGGCAAAGCAATCATGAATGAATTTTTATTTACAGTGGCGTAAATATTTTGCCCGGCTTTGTCCTCTTCTAAAGGACCAGCTGTGCCGAGACGCCACATCGCTCAGTTCCCTGATGCGAAGGGGTGTAGCTGGAGGGGACTTCTGGCGCCACGGCACATCGGCATAATTACGCTCTTCACACTGGTGAATTATTCTTGCAATCAAACCGTTGAATTACATTTGGATCCGGGTACTTAATTTCGAGGGCATTGTCAACGAAGGCAGCAAATTCCGAAGCAAAATTTCAGTATAAAACAAACACGCATATATTCAAACTCATCCTAACTTAGATTCATATAGCATTTGCCTCAATCAACATCCTTAAAACCCTTTAACCACCTTCACTTATTAAAGGTATTTAGTCACATTTTTTTTTTTTTTTGGTATGGTAAGGCAAAAGTTTAAAGAGAAAAGAAATTAGAGGTGCTCAAAATCCATCTGCTGGGTTTATATCTATTTTTATGCATTTCTGACACTTGCTAAAATAGTTAGCACCGTTTCCTCTTTTTGCAACCACTTTCTATTGTGGCTTTTTTTTTAACCGTTGAGGAGCATGCACGTCCATTGCATTCTGGGCCCTAAAACATACATGTAGGCTCGAGATCAAATAGGTAAGTTTCAGATCCTACTTGGTGGGACTAGTCTGTAAACTCCATGACCAAATGGCACCTCATATTGGAATTACTCGGCGTAGTAGCAAGGATGGGCTACTGAACTGAAGACAAAATAATGCCTGTCTAGACATCATTCTTGGTGGCCTCAGCGACTGGCTCCCAACTCTGGCTGAATCGTGTGACCACTAGCGCGTTCTACTTGTCCCCTAAATCTTGTATCTTAAAATCCTTAGAAGAATCCGACAACCTATGGTGTATCTTACAACAAGGACGCTCAAGGCCCACCAGGTTGGAAGATAACCGGCTCCGTTCCCTCTGCTCCACAGTTACTATTTCTTTCAATACTCTTTACTGCTGATCTTTGAAACTGCGGAGCAGGGCCTGAATCTTCTACTACCTGCCGAATTCCTAATCTTGTGTAGTGGCTGTTGTAACAACTGTAGAACTCGTCGGTAGGGTTCAGGAAACTCGTCCAGTGAATGTCCACACCGGTGCAAATATTTAGCGGAGCCAATGTGAAGATTTCAGGTAGAAAGGTTGTGAAGTGGGGAAGTGGGAGGATGCAGCTGCCTTTGTCCAAACACCGAAGTTTGCTCACAACTCAGACATTCCTCAGAGCCACCCGATGACAGCCAGGCAGGAGAATCTGGATGACTTGGGGAGGAGGTGATCTTTCCCTCCCCTCCTTTCGGTCAACAGATCCCGGAAGATCCAGTCTGAAGAAGTTTGGGGCTTTGAAGAACCCGGGAGGGAGAGGAACCGAGTTCCCTTCAAATGTACCTTCAGCTTCTTCCCAAAACATGCTAAGCATGACAACGGGATCCCTTTGGCACTTTGAGATGCTGTCCGTAGCCGGTCTGGCTCTCGCGCTTCCTTGCTAGGTGGAGGAAACTGGTAGCAGCGGGGTGCCACTCGAGGGAGGAGCAAAGCAGAGCTGCAGCCGGCTTCGTGCCCTGCGGATGCATTCGGCCTTCAGGCTCAGGATTTCGTCCAGCTTCGTCAGACAGTCCTCAAATTCCTGGCAGAAAAAGGAATGGCAAGAAAGAAAGACGAGCGGGGGGTTGAAATGGGAGCAAGACTCACTTAACGAATGTCTCCCTTAACAACAGATTATTTTGGGCTCAACTGTGGCCGTAAGTCAAGGACTACCTGGGTGCTGATATTTTGTGATTGAGGTGTCCATTTTTATTGTTTCAGGAACAGTCACCTTGGAGGCAATAAAATTTAATGAACAAATCAGTGAATCAAAGGCCCCCAGGGAGAAAAATGGCAGAGCTGCTCTTCGGAGCCTGCCGGAGAGGAGAGTTCGAGAGGTTTTGGCAGCCTTCCTCTTCTGGGTGTGGCGTTCCAACGTGTGGAAGAAATTCCCTTTACAAACCCTCCGACCTGTTCTGTCTACGTCGGTGTGGGGGAGGGAAGAGGGGATGGTTCCAGACAGGTGCCCAGGGAGGGTGCTGGCGCATGAAGCTCCATTAGTGTGCAGTGCCTGCCGCTTGTGCAAATGGAGTTGGGCCCTTAGAATAGAACAGAGTTGGAAGGGACCTTGGAGGTCTTCTAGTCCAACCCCCTTGCTC